TTGCTTTTACATTAGGTCGAAATCAAGTTCTTTATATACATGTTCTTTACATATTAGCCCGAATTGCGCGAATCCGCTTACTTTGTAACTGGGCGAATCCGCTCGTTTTGAAGAATCGTCACTAATCTCTACTAAACAAAGTTAAATAAACATGAATGTGCTACGGATTAATTAATAATAATAATAATAATAATAATAATAATAATTAAATACGCGAAACGTAACGCGAATTCAGATGATAATAAATAATTATACACGTTATTGATAAATAAATAAAATTAATAAATAAATAAAATTTAAATTTGTCCCGGAATTAAAAGATTCGACCAAAAGATCTGCATCAAAAATCTAATTCCGGATCAGTCAACAATATCTATTATGCAGTTAAAATTGTTAAATTGATACTGAGCAAATTTCATAGACTGCTTGACATATCTGAAATATTAAATTTAAATATATAAATTTTATTTAATTATTTTCAAGAGGAGTAGCCTCATATAAATTTAAGTTGGAAGTTATTTTGGGAATTATATTCTAATAAAGTCGTATGAGCAGGATATTAATTATAGAGACGAAAAATTTGCCCAATTTTGCCGGATAATCGGTCTAATTAAAAATTTACCACGCGGACAATCGGTGATTACTCGATTATTCATCGAATATCCGCTGAATGAGGCTCAGAACGAATCAATGAAATTCGAACAAATGGTTCCACACTTCCTTCTTTGAACATATTGTACTATGCCTGTTGAAGAAGTAATTGAAGAGGCATCATTTTCAACAATGCAATTATTGTCATTCATCATTGTTATATTTATTATTTAAATTTAAACAATATTACTTTTTATGAGAGTTTCTATTCGGAATACAAATTCTTATTATTTGTTTTATTCGCTTTTTTATTCATTCGAATAAACATTCAATGTATTTTGAATACTCAAATTCATAACGATCATTAGAATAAACCTTATTCGAATAGAATCCTTATTACTATTAATATGACATTAAAAGAAATTTAGTATCAGATCGAATCAATTCGTTCGGGACTTGCTGCTGAATTATCTATTCTTATATGTATTAAAAAAATTCATTCAATTAATTAACAAGATAAACTTTTTTTATTATATTCTGTAGTAGTTTAAGTAATTTAGCAATCCAAAATATTAAAAGTTTATATAACAAATAATAAATAAAGAAAAAAAATGTTTTTGTCTACATATTATTAAATTTATTCCCTGGTTTTTTACCCTTTTTTGTATTATTACTATTTTGTCCAGTTGTTTTTTTGATTTTTGATTCATGTATTTGTCTTCTAATAACAGCTTCAAGTTGACTAACACAAAACTTATATATTCTAAATGTATGTGAAACTAATAATGTATCTGGAAATAAATCAATTGTTGCTTGATCAATTTCTGAAAACCAGAAATTCAAATCCATGTTTGTTAAATAAACATTCAATGGTTCATTTGAGTAATCTTTTGATTCTACTGACAAAAATCTCAATGTAAATCTTTTCAATGCCACAATAAGTGCATCTGCTGGTATTTTTTTTGCTTTTTGTTTAATTGTCAATGTTGATTTTTGTTGATTATTAGTAAAATCAACTACAGCTACAATTTCATTCTCTTGTTCTAGTGTCAATCCTTCTTTATAAACATCATCAATATATTCAATCACTCTGTTGGCCACCTGTTCTTCTACAAATTCATACAATGCTACTATATGTTTTAAGGATAGATCTGCATTTAATAAATTTGCAAATGCAGGTTTCATCATCAATAATGACTCAATTTCTGAAAACCAGAAATTCAAATCCATGTTTGTTAAATAAACATTCAATGGTTCATTTGAGTAATCTTTTGATTCTACTGACAAAAATCTCAATGTAAATCTTTTCAATGCCACAATAAGTGCATCTGCTGGTATTTTTTTTGCTTTTTGTTTAATTGTCAATGTTGATTTTTGTTGATTATTAGTAAAATCAACTACAGCTACAATTTCATTCTCTTGTTCTAGTGTCAATCCTTCTTTATAAACATCATCAATATATTCAATCACTCTGTTGGCCACCTGTTCTTCTACAAATTCATACAATGCTACTATATGTTTTAAGGATAGATCTGCATTTAATAAATTTGCAAATGCAGGTTTCATCATCAATAATGACAATTTCATCCATTGTTTCACATAATCTTGTATTAACATGTCCTCCTGCCCTATTGCATTGTGCTTAATAAAACATAAAAGCACCTCCAGTGATGATAAAATGTTATTTGCATCATCCAAACTATAATTATTTGTATATTGTGGTGATGATACAAATATATTATTATTTATGTTTCCCACTTCTCCTCTAATCAATGATAATTTTTCAGTAGGAATAGGTTCTTGTGGAATTATATTTTTAATGTCACTGAGAATTCTCGAATATCCTTGGAACAATTCCATATGGTATGAAAATGGTTCTAAATATAATTGTGAATCTTGTACAGTTTCAATATATGCTTTATCAAAACCCAGCCAATATGCAAGTTCAAGTTCAATCTTTTTCAAGTCATAAATAACATCATCTCCATGTCCAATAGTAAGGATTCTTTGACTATATTGAAGAATATCTTCATCCCACTCATAATCAATTACATTTGATTTTCTTAATTGGCTTGCTCTTGATGATTGTATATAATATTGATTAGATACTTGTGGATTATTGGCTTGAGCTGTTGTTGAACTACTACTACTATCATCACTGGATGTTGATCCCACATCAACTTGAGGTGGTTTTTCTAAAAATTTTAATGATTTACAAGATCCATTTGGAATTTTTGTGATTTCTTGCAAGAAATTATTTTGTAATGTCACAAGGTAATTTATAATTGCACAAATAAATATCCCTGTATCTTTTTCTTCGACTATTGCAAAAACAATTGGGCTATCTAAAGACAAACTAGGAATAACTGATTTAAATTCATGAATCTGATATCTTTTGACTTGATCACGCACTGCATTCCATGCCTCTGAAAACTCATCAAATGTCTTAATTAATGTTTCATGTGTCTCTCTAACTATTCCTCCATTTGATTCATCATTTATAAATTCTTGGAATGATTTATTATGAGTATCTTTTCTATTGATTCTATACACAAGTCTTGATGCCAATATCTCAGCAAATTTAATAATGGGAAAAAGATGTTTAACCTGTGATAATTTTTCAGAGTGTTTAAAAAATATTGAAAGAAATGGATATGTTTTATTGTTATTGATTTGATCAGCAAGGTAATATGCTCTAAAACTTTCAAAGCTTATTGTTCCTATTGTTCTCCAAAGATTTGGTAAATATTCAACTTTATAGTTATTATCCATATCTATAGTCTGATTAATTTCCGATTCAATTATATTAGCATTTCCATTAGCTCTTTTTAATCCTGCATCTAATTTTCTATGGAAATTTGTAACAGATTCATTAAAGCTTTTTGTTTGTGGCTCAACATAATCTTTAGTAAATTGTAATTCCCATTCATCCTGTTGAGCAGGGGTTGTAATTATTAATGGACCACCAGTAAAAAGTTTTTTTGACATTTCTGTTAGAATTGAATGTAATAGCAATGCTAAATTTTCATCATTGCAATTGAAAATATTTTTAAGTACTTTCCAGTCATTCTGTATATGTCTAAAGCAATATTCTTCAATATTACTGGCAATTTGTTTTAAGAAATCTTTAGCACTATTTGAAGAACCAATCAATGCATGAACAATTAAATGTAAGATGCGATACGCATTTGGTGGCATAGTACGAACTGAATAGTCAACATTATTAGATTCATCCATAACTGTTACATTTTGACTTGCACCTTCAATTGTATTGCTTTTACACTGTGGACATTTATTTGCTTCTATTGCTTGACCACAGTTTACTATAAAATATTTATAACCACACTGACATAAATATCTAAAATTATTAAAAAATTATTATTATCATTATCATCATCATAATGTTAAATAAATAAATCTGAATTTTTACCTTGTTAATTTTAATTGTTCAGTTTGTACTGTTAAAATATAATACATATGACAATTTTGTATATTATTTAGATAAACAGTTAATGGTGATGAGTCTGCAGGAATTGATGAATGTAAGATTACAATATGTCCAATTACAGATTTAATTAACAAAGTTTCATTTGTTTCCCTGGTATTTAATTGAAGTAATGGCTGTTTATTTTGTAGAATATTGTCAATTACTTGTCTATAAAGTGGTGTAAGCATCATCATTCCATTAATTTCAGTTTTAAGATCTTCACTGGCATTATCATAATCAAGAGTCCATTCATCTGATGCATGAACTAAATGTATACGTTGTACAACTACACCACCAAATGCAATTCTATGTCCTATTGACTCATTTTTTTCTACAGATTGTAGGAAGGTCTTAATTGGTGCTTTATTTTTAAGTGAATATAAACTAGAAAATCCTTTATCAGCTTCTGCATACATATCTAAGGCCCAGTAAGGATTAAATGGAAGTCTATTTTGAGAATGGTCTTCCCATACAATGCTTGCAAGCCATGGAAATGTATTATTTAGCCTATTACAAAATTGTTTTAAATCATTGAGTGAAAGATTGTGCCGATTATGTAAAATTCTTAGAAAATATATTTTTAATGAGTGGATTAATGGATTTGGTATGCTCATAAAATTATTAATTTCTCTAATTAAAGCTGTTCCATCAAAATCTATACCAATTAGATTGGAGATTATTGGTTCATGATAATTGTGGTCTTGAATACATTCATTCCAGAATCCTTCAACAAATTCTTTAAGAAAAGCAATTGTAGTTATTTTTTGTAATGGTTCTGTTCCAAGATTAGTTATAGCTCCAGCTGCAAATCTAAAGTAATTTGTTAAATCTGATAATTCAAATGTTGTTGCAAATAATGTTTGAATAACATCACAACATAATGTTGACATCATAGAATCAAGTCCTTGATTTTTAAGACAAGTATTTATTACATTTAATCTTGTTGAATTATGGATAGCCAAATCTGGATTTCCTAAAATTGTCAAGAGAATACTTTCATCTTCATCTTTATCTTCTTGCAAGAATATATGTTGTATTATTGCACCCATGAGTGGAAATGGTTTTTGACCAAAAATTTTGCCATATAGTTGCAGTCTAAGTTTTGATTCAAGGTCAATAATATCAAGACATTTAAGTATAAATGATCTACTAGAACTACTTGAAATAAGATTCTTTTCAGTTGGCTCCATTTGATAAAGAATATCAAGTATTTTATTAATAAACTCAGCTGAAAAACATTTCTTTTTGGCTTGAATTTTTTCCAAGTGTAGTTATTTCTTTGACATTAGATAATGGAATAGCTTTTGTTGATATAAAATCATTACAAATAAGTAATATTTGAAGTGAAGGCAATGGCTGACCTTTCAAAGCTTTTGCTCCAAATGATAAAATTTTTGGAACATCATGTTGCCACTGTTCAAACATATATGAACTGTATGTCAGGTTCTGTGATTCACTAATATTCTGTAACATTATTCCTGCAGTCTCTTTAACTAGGAAATGTTCAAAAGATTCTGAGTTATTGCAATTTGTTATCTTACTAATAACCATTGGGCATGTTTGAATTAATTGAAATTCTGCTAAAACAGTATTTGAATTTCTCCACCAATATGCATGTAAGAATACTGGATCTAAAAATTTTTCTTCCCCCATAAATCTTTGAAGTAAGAATGACAAGACTTTTAGATTTCTGTTACCAGCAGATGAAGATACTGCAACAAAATCATTAAAGTACAAATCTGGAAATAAATTTAATGATGATTTTTTGAATGATGGTATAGAATTTATAACAGTAGTTGAAGCTACTGTAACAAAATCATTAAAGTACAGGTCTGGAAATAAATTTAATGGTGATTTTTTGAATGATGGTATAGAATTTATAACAGCAGTTGAAAATTTTTTTGTATAATCATTAAAGAAATGTTGGTAAAGTTCACCAGTTTGTTCATCAATATTTTCCTCGTTTTCTTTGTGCTGATTTATTTCTTCTTCAAATAGCTGTTTAAATGAATCAATTCTTTTCATAAAATATAGTGAAAATGGGAATTCAAGATCATAATTATTGGCAGGCATAGTATATACATCTGGTTTAGGATCTGGTATTTCTTCTGTGTTTACAATTTTTGGATCCATAAAACATTCTATCCAGAATTCAAGTAATTTATGAGATTGTTCTACTTCTATTTTTTGTGATTTATCAATTAAAAGCAAAGTTCTGGTTGCTGATAACCTTTCAATTGCACATAAAAGCTTTGCAATTGGTTTTCGAATAATGATATGTAAATATGCTTGTAATGCACATGAAAATGAAGAATATAGGTGTAAAAGTTTTTTGTCTGATGCAACTTTACTTTGCCAATTTGTTTCAGAATTTGTTTTCAACCATTCTTGTGTTCTGTCCTTTAAACATGTGACCAGATTTTTGTTATTTGGGATTTGCATAATTAGATCTCTAAAATAAATACATTATTATTTTAAAAATCAATTACTAAAATAAATAAATGCTATTAAAAATTTTAATAAATAAGTAAATATATACATACCTAATATGATCCAATGATTTTTGTGAATGTGGATACTTTATGCATGATAAACACCATGGTAATTCTTGTTTCAAGATATCTTCAAATGGATATGTAGTATTGATAATATCAACCATAGGTTTTTCCAAAAGGCTAGATAGATTTCCATCTTGTATTTGTAATGTATCTATAGTAATCTGTTCCCATCCACACATAAAATTAAATGAAACAAAAGGCTGTTCCTGTTCCCGGTGAATATGTAAAATAATACATGCATGTTTCATTGGAAGGTTTTGTCCTTTTTCTAAAAATTCTCCACGAAATTTCTCAATAACAAATTTGGCCAATTTAATGCATCTAGCATTCACTGTCATTATATCACATTGAAGAATCAACATTTGCTTATCTGATTCCAACCAAAAATGTTTGATTCTATTTTGAAACTGTGTTTCAGACTTGAATGCTGAAAGTTTATCTACTTGGCAACTGATTTTATTTGACAGACAAGATTCCACATCAGTATTGATATTTGAAAATGTATTTACAATAATTTTATTTCCTATATTTAGGACATTTTGTTTCAATAATGCATTAAAATAATCAAAAAGACTATTATGATGTTGTATTTTAAAATAATATTTCTTCCATTTAAATACTTCTTCATGGTTTAATGAAGAATTTTCAGATCTCATCATACCATCTAAAGTTGCTATAGCAACAAGACATTCTTTGCATTTTTCAAGTATTTCTTCATTGTATGGTTTCATTAGAATCAAAACCAATAAATAAATCTTGTTGTTCAAATTTATTGTGTAATTGAGACCCTGCATTCCTTCCTGAAACCATAGAAAACTTTTTCACCCAGCTATTCAATTCAGCAACAAGCTCAAATTCCTCATCTGTCAATATATCATTAATTACCAATTTTTGCTTTTCAAATCTATTCAAAAGTGATGGATCAGCATGTAGTAAATTTTTCTCTTCCAAAACAAGAATGCATCTAAAGTCCTTGTGAACAGATCTAATAAAATACAAGATAATATTTATTTAATGCTTTTATTTGTAAAAAACAATATAATATACATATTTATTCATTTATTTATCAATTATACATACACCATTGGATTTGCATATGCCCCCAATGCAATTCTAGCATAATATTTAGGATCATCATTGCTTCCCATAACAATATAATTTTGATTCCACAAATCATAAAGACTTCCTGTGATTATAACAAATATTAAAAATATTAAACGAATGAATTGTTATTAGAAAGATTTCAAATAAAAATCCACTTGCCATAAATGATTTCTAAATCTGTCAAAATCAATGGTCTTCCTGCTTCAATACACATCTAAATAAAAATATCAAATATCAAATAAGATTAATTTAAATAACAATAAAAAAAAATAACAATAATTTTCTGAACCTACCATAATCCTATTTAAAATATTATACGAGTAATCATCTTGATCTTCAGGAAATTGTGAACCTAATATTATAACAGGATCCAACTGTTTTTGTCGCAATTCAAAGTTTAATATATTTACTATTGATTCACTTTTTCCTATGACCATTAAATGTCTCGCACTTTTATCATCAAAATTTTCCCTAATTAAATTCAAAACAGGTATTGGTTTATAAATTCTAAATTGATGATTATCAAATGCATTCAGTACTTCTCCAAAGTATTTTTCACATAATTCTTCATGCTCTCCAGTTCCACCAAAATTACGTGCTAATGCCATTTGAATATTATCAGTAGTCATTTCTTTTGATGAAAGACTTTTAACCAAAGCATAATAATCTCGAAGACCATGGAAATTTGGGAACGTTTGCCCATTTTGTTCATATTCAGAATATGCCACAGCTAATGGTTTTAAAGCTGCTCTTTTAATATTTTTGTTTATTAATAAATGTTGTGCTGTATCAACTAAGTCATCCAAACCAAATTTAGGTCTAATTAAATGTATTTAAAATATGTTTATAAATAAATTTATTCTTGATAAAACCAATAAAATCAAATAAAGTATAACACAACAAACCTTTGTACTAATAGAGCTCTACTACTTTTACTATTATCTAATCTCCAATTGGAAATACCAATTATAGAAACTTTTGGTCCACCTGCTGGATAGCTTGGCTCAAGTTCAGAATGAAGTACTGTTAATGGGTTGAAGGGACTGGTTTCAGCCAATCCAACTAAATATTTAAAGAATGTTACTATTATTAGTATAATTTTAATAAATCAAAATCAAACCTAATTTTGTAAACAATTAATAAAGCACCTTCATCCAATAATACAACACTGATTACAGGAAATTCTTTTCTACTTGTATCTTGATATTTATTAGCCTTTTCAAAGACCTTCAAGATACCTTCTGAAGTGGATGATGTAGATCCTTGATGTGGAATGAGATATACCTATAAAAAAAAAGTTTTTAATAATAAAATAACTTGTATGATGAAAATTTTTAGGTAGTAAATTATATTAATACCTGGGGCAATTTTTTGAAATAAGGATCATTTGAATCTGCACCACATAAATTTTGACTCACAAGCCTTACAGCCAAGGATTTTGAACATCTATTAAACAGATGGTTGGTTAATAATATTCACCAATATAAATCTAATTATATTATTTTTTTTTCAAAAAATAAAGATAACTAACCCGGGTGAACCAATAATAAATACTGGAATTTTAGTCAATATACATGCTATCATAACCAAGACATTTTCTAACAATGCTTCATTAAAAGCAGTATTTGGTGGACAAATCATCCTTTTTATATTATCTTCTTGTTCTTCTCTTAAAATCAAATCAAATGTTTTTAAATTAAATGAAGAAATATATCTACTAAATATTTTTACAATTTCTTGCTTGTATTTATAACGTAATTCTTTTTCATATAATCTGGAATGATAACATAATCCAAGAGATAAGATGTATGAACGCATAAGCAAACTTGGTTTCCCTTTACCAACTTGTGGATATTTAACTGGCTTCTCTTTTTCACCAGGGTATCGTTTTCTAGTTGGTCTATCTTTGAGATGTTCATAGAAGAATTTTATAAGTTTTATGGCCCTTTTTACATCACGTAAACTAACATTATATGGCTCTTCAACTTTTCTGATGAATTGTTGTGATGCAAATAAAAGTTCAGTCAATACTTGATGATTTAACAATTCTTTGGGGAGTTGGTCTTGTAACATGATATGAATATATTTCTTTTCATCTTCTGGTTGAAGCACACCATAATCCCATACATAATCCAAAATTTGATCAGGCAATGGCTTCACTTGATAAACAAGTCTACTTTTTTCATCATATATTTTCACTTTTGTTTGTAATCCAGTATCACTAACACTTTTAGTATGAATACGATATGGATTACATGCTGAAAAAAGTCGAATATTTGGATGAATTTGTTTCCCTTCAAGCATTCTATGAGCAATAAGATCAGATAATAGTCCAATATGATTGCAGGTGTTGATTTCATCAAAGAATAACCATGTTTCCCCTTTGT